TAACATTTCCCGCTTGTAAAGTGGTCATAGACATTCCTAAACATAATGAGCTTCCTGTTTCTGCCAACAGGGCATTGATAAATATTTACCAGCGCATACAAAACTGTTCTGTGGTGCAATTAAATATCTGAATCATAGATTCTGGTTCTAGGCTTGAATTCACCAAATTAGAGCTGGATTCATCAAATTCTACCCCAGCAACATGTTTTTTTATTCTCCTGTGTTTTGTGGCGCGCACACGCATAATTTGCCTCTCCAGTTTCAGTCAGTTGCAGAATTACCTTTTCTGTAAGTTTAAAGAGAACGAAAATCTCAGTGTATCACAGCTGTCCTTCTTATGCATCATCTGAATGAAGGAAACGTGAAGCTACTTCAAAGATGTGTGTGAAATAATATTTTATTGTAGTGTAATTACTACATTGCTGACGCTTCAGGAAAGTAGGCACCGGTTATCTGCTTTCTGCTTTAATCAGGGAAGCGCTCTATACACTCATTTGTCAGTTTATTTGGAATACCTAGCTAATAAATAAATCAACCCTTCATTAAAATGAAGTGTATATACAGACTACTACTTTTTCTATGGAGCCACCCATCGGCTAAGTATTGTAGAATATGTACAAGGCCTATTACAGCTCGGCTTTGTAAAAAAAAGAAAAAAAAACTTCAGCTTTTTGCTAAATACAACCTGAATTAGCCAGAGGTAATTTTAATATGCATGTGCTGAGTTGTAGTGACACTTTGCACATTTAAACTCTGCCACTGCAGGTGCCCTACGAGACTCTGAACAAGCGTTTCAGAGCAGCTCAGAAGAACATTGATCGGGAGACAAGTCACGTGACCATGGTGGTTGCAGAACTGGAGAAGACTCTGAGCAGCTTCCCTGTGGTCGACTCTGTGGTGTCACTGCTTGATGGAGTGGTGGAAAAACTCAGTGCCCTGAAGAGAAAGGTAAGGGAGACACATAAGCCTTGTTAAATTTAGTTGATCCGATTGGCAAAGGCTTTGCCAGTGTAGTAAATGTTGGAGCCTTCAGGAGCCTCATTTCTGCACTGATTTTGATTGATTTGAAAATTCTCTTTTTAAGTGGAAAATTTTACATCCACATGTTCCAACGTTTGACAGCTTTTTTCTAAAAGTTGCTAGTGCTTACATAAAAGACAAATAAAAACACTGTATAGAAAATAAATTTTAGTTATATATGGCAGCCCACGGGGAAGCTCTGGCAAGACAAAGACTTGCACTTTTTCTGGGAGAAGGTCCAAAGTACTGTAAATTTAAGAAAACCCTAAACCCACCCATTACTTGGCAGATGCCAGTACTGGGTGATATGGATTACCAGCAGTATCTGGTCAACAAACGTGATCTCCATTCAACTGTTAAAAGCCACATTACTTGCTTCTTTTATAAAAAGCACTTTCTTGTGGCTGTGGGTTTTTTATAATGGTATAACTGTGGTTTTGTTGCATTGTGTTTGTCGAAGATAGAATGCTACCTAGCTGGTTTTAGCTTGAGGCCTTATCTAATGTGATGAAATACAAGCAATCTGTTAGGTATTTTTAGTCAGATAGAAACTGGATAGATACTTTATGTATTAGAAATGTTTAGTGGAGATAGGATGTCTAGTTAGACTGTTAAATGCTTAGTCATGCTTATGAGTTTCTACAGGGTACATCTGGTCAAGGATAACTAGAGAAAAGTTGATGACTGTCAGCAGACAGGGTGTTTAATATTATTATTACGACGTGTATAACTGTAGCCTTAGCCATAATATGTTC